CTGGGCTCAAGGGATCCTCCAGCCTCAGTCTCCCAAAGTGTTGGAATTACAGGCATAAACTACTGCACCCGGCCAAGAACTAGATTGTTTTCTTTTTAAAAAGGCTTTTCATAAGGAAGAATACCTGGCACAAAGGTATTCTTTGCATAAGAGGTGAGAGACACCCCAATTAAGTCCACAGACAGTGTACTGTGTACTGAAATGTCACATAATTGATTCAGTGAGCCTCATTTTCGGTTGCCTCATTTTTTTCCCCTGACAACTTTCCACTCTTCCTAATATACTATAAATTAGCAAATTAGAAACAAAAGAAATTAAGGGTGCTAGGAACAAATACTCAGTTATAAGAAAAACCAGCAAAAAAAATTACAGAAAAGTACAAGTCTGCGGCCATTCAGAATAGGAAAAAGATAATTTATGATAATAGTCCAAGGAAAAATTAAAGTGTTTTAATATAGTCTACTATAGTCTATGATCCATTTAATATTTTCATCAAATGATTAAAATAAAACAAATGTTAGTTCTTAATGAGTTAAGCTTCAGTTATCTTGAATATTTACCCATGGGCTATGTTTCCTTCCCTGGCAATGCCTCAAAATCAAGAGACCTGTAATATAATAAGAAGTCTTAATCTTCAATGAGACAAAGGAAAATACAGGCTGATGTGGATGAAATATGAATTTGCATTTCCCACTAACTGTATGCATCATAAAGCTCCCAAGACCAAAACATACACACCACTTAACAGTAATACTGTACGGCTGCTTGTTAAGTGTGATGTACTGATTTAAAGTTATCAGAGACTTACGAATGTACTCACATTCCATATAAGTATTCTAGCATTTACTTTAGAAATCTGGATTATTCTGACAATGCCCCCCAAATCATATTAGGGCAGACACTAAGAACCTATGACCTAAACTTTTTAAAGTATATAATGAGATTACAATTAGGACAATTTGCAACAAGACTCATGTTTGAAAAAAAGACAACAGTCTTTTTCTCTATTCACGTTGTACTACACAGAAACATTTTTTAAGTGTTTAAAATGCTTGCAAGCCGGGCTCAGTGGCTCAGCCTGTAATCCCGTGCCTTTGGGAGGCTGAGGTGAGTGGATTGGCTGAGCCCACAGGTTCGAGACCCGCCTGGGCAGCAAGACCTCATCTCTACAAAAAATCAGCCAGGCGTGGTAGCGCATGCCTGTAATTCCGGCTACTCGGAAGGCTGAGGAGGAAGGATTGCTGGAGCCCAGCAGGTTGAGGCTGTGGTGGCTGGGAGCGGCCACTGCACTCCCGTCTGGGCGACAGTGAGACTCCAACTCAAAAAAAAAAGAAGCTTGCAAAAAGCAAAATGCTCTACTAATGAATGGTAATAAATACATAATAGGCCGGATGTGGTGGCTCACGCCTGTAATCCCAACACTTTCGGAGGCAGAGGTGAGAAAATTGCCTGAGTCCACCAGTTCAAGTCCCGCCTGGGCAACTTGGTGAGACCCCCATCTCTACAATAAACCAAAAAATTAGCCGGGCGTCGGGGCATGTGCCTGTGGTTCCAGCTACTTGGAAGGCTGAGGCATAAGGATCACCTGAGCCCAGGTCGAGGCTATGGTGGCTGTGAGTGTGCCACTGCACTCCAGCCTGGGCAACAGAATGAGATTCCTACTCAAAAAAACACACAACAACCCCCCCAAACCATAATAAAATATGCAGTCATAAAAAAAGTTCTGAAACTTTAAGAATAGGACTTTGCCTTTATATCAGTAGCAGTTTTTAAAAAATGTCAACAAACCATTCTATGATTGTTTTTATAAAAGATTAGGTAGAAATTCTACTTCCCCAGATTATAATCTTTTTACTATAGTTCAAAATTACAGGGCTTCATTGTAATATGTGTTACCATGGTTTCAATTTTATTTTGAAGTGAAATTTCTGCAAATCTAACATGAATGTCATACTTGCTTTACATCACATTATTAAAATGGTTAATGCACTTCAGAAACTGAAGTGTGCAGTATATTTTCATTTCAAAAACACCCACAAGCTAAAATAGATATTTAAAATCTTTATTGTTTCATCATCAAAAGTTTTCTTTCCATAGAAGAATGGCAATGCTATATGAGAGCATATTCTATGGAAAACTCATACCTCAAGTAACTAGCCTAGAAATTAGAGACAGCACTATATCAAGCTAGTGTACAAGTCAAAGACACAATGCTGCCAATGCAATTAGTATACAGAAAGAATATGTAGCTGTTAGAAAAAGAGTCTATGGCCAAGTGGATAAAACAGTAGCAGTGCACTGCACTGACATCTAGAAGAACAGAAAATGGGGAAGGACCAGAGAATGCACTTCCTGCAAAAAAAATCCAGTAGATCACAGGCACAGAGTTCCCAAATGTTATCACCAGCTTCCAATTCATGTATACCTGTACCTTCCTCTTTAAGTCTGGAACATTATATTGCTGCAAGCCATTTTCAGCCTCATGTGTAAAGGGTACAGCCCCATGATGATACTGCTTCCTGCATCCCATCATCTCGAAGTTCAAAGTAACAGCTTGGGGGAGGCAATAAAACCTGTGGCTTTAGGCATCTTCAGTAAAACGCTGAACAAACCCAAAATGTGTTCCCATTTTCTTGAGAAATAAACTTTATAAAACAACAAAAGATAGCTGTCATGATTACTCAGCTTTGGCTGAAGGCAAAACAATTTTTATGTCAGTATACTGAATAAACAGACAAACAAATATCCTTAACAAAATACTGTCAGACCAACTTGAACATTTTCATAACCAGCTTCTGAAAAAAGTCCCGATAACTGTTAGATGTAAATGGCCACTACAATTTGATTATGCCTAGTTACTGGGAATTTTTTGGTCAGGTAGGTGTCTGAAGCTGCTATACAGCTGGATTTGGCTACTTTGCATTAATTCATACAATGCCTTTTATAAGGCTAAAGCAGATCAATCAAATCAAAACAGTTGAGAGGTATACAGGAAATATGTCTTAAGTATTTTAAAATTACATATGATATAACCTCAGAGAATAAGAACTACCATTATTATGGTCTAGACCTCAAACTGTTAATGCATGAAATATTTGCAGGACTAAGTCTCCTGTTAATCGCGACAAGACCTTGTGGGAGGGGGCAGTCAATGTATGGCATAGCAATTATTTTCCAGGTGAGTGAAGAGTTCTAAGTGTTATTAAACTATGTTTGAAAAGTTATTTTATGTAATATATACAACATACAAAATAAGTTAAAAGGAAGAAGCAGAGGAAGGTTTCCTGGTATCTATGATGCAAACATACAACTGTCCCTCATCAGCAGGAATTTCATGTATGTCCATTTTACTCAGGATAAACATGAGAGGCGAACAGAAGATCAAAAGTTTCATTTATAAATAGAAACAGGATTCAAAAACTGGAATTTCAACGTTGGTTCTTCCCACATTGCAACTTACTCTACTTTAGCTATAATGAACATAAATAAAAACCCTATCTCAAAAAATTTTTTTACACCCTTACCTTAAAGTTTAACATAAATTCTTCTAACAGTTGAGGAAAAAAGCACTCCTTTGAAGCAATCTCATAAAATAATTTTCAATTCACAAAATACCTGTTTACTAGTAAAACCTGCGACCCTTATGGAGGGTACGGGCATTAATCCTTGGCCCCTCTGAGGTATAGATGCAGCTTTATTTGCACTGAGTATATAGTCTATAAGGTATGCCAATGGTCTGCATATTTGCATAACATTGGGAGTGATGTCATCCTGACTGATTGAAAACTTATTTTTATAACTTTTTGTAATAATGGAGGCTAAATAATTAAAGAGATTAGCCCAGTAATACAGCCAGCAGGATTCTGAATGCCTAACCAATGCAAATGGTTATTACATTTAAAACATGTTTAACATTGCTTGTCAACTCCAAGAAAAAAAAGATGGAACAGGAAAAACACATAAATATTCAACTTCAGCAGGACACCACAAAAAGCATACTATAGGTAAGTGTGAAATTAGTCAAGCTTTTCCAAAAGAGAAAATCCTTTTAATCCCTCAGCAAGTCTCTATGAAAATAGTATGCTTACAATAAAAGTGAGAAGGGAGCACCTAGAATACCCCCAAGAGGCTGCTATACCATTCGCCATTACTGCCCCAACTCCTGTGTGCGTGAATGGCCAACAAATGACAGGAAGTTCATTTAACAACAGTTCAGTAATTCCTTTTCACCACTGCTGCCAGCTGAAGTCGTCATTGCTTCCAAAGACCAAGAAAAAGCCTAGTATAGTTGCAAAGATGACTGTGTTTCCTGTGAGAACAAGTGCACAAGCTCCCCACTCAATCTATGGAAATAAAATACAAATACTCAGTTAACAGGCATATGAAAAACAAAATAAAAATAAAAAGCAAATCAAGGCTTTAGTTGCATGCCAATCACGATCTAAAACAAATCTGGTTTGTAATGTATATATGTATATAGCTTGCACAGTGCTGAACACTTAACGATACTTTTATACCGCTGTTTTATTTACCTTTGGTTCCTTTAAAAAGAAGGTCATGGGAGATGATAATTATTCAAAAACAAGCTTGACTTCTGGACTATGACAAAACAGCATGGAATTCTACAGTTTCTGTTTATAAAGAAATTTGCTTACTCTTCCATAGCAAATGTAAAAATCTAGTTAGCAAGCAGATTAAATTTTTTTTAAAGGATCAGAGATAACAACACACTGGTGTATGTTCTCTTAAGGGGTGGGGGAGTGATCACCTTCTCCATATGGCTGGCTTCTCTGCCTTCTCTACCTCCCCAGAGATTTAGGCATGAATCTCAATGGGTGAGTTTGGGAGAAAGAACTAAGATATGTAGTTAGCCCCTTTGCTTTTGTACTTTACCACCTGCAGAGCACACACAATTTTCCCAGGTCTTCCATGTTTTAAGTTTTACAGGGCAGGCCTATGGTTGTTCAGCATGGAGGAGCTGACATGCCCAAAGTCAACTACTACTGAGACCAACCCAACTAATATCATTTTTATTAGTTGAGAACACAATAAAGTAAGATTTCAACCTCTGTCTTCTAAGCTCCTACATCTCATCTCTTTTTCAACGTTCCTCAAGAAAAATTTAATACAGTACAATATAAAATCATCGATAGAATTTATTTACTTACCAGATGTGCTCTGGCAAAGACAATAGGGAGTCCAAAAGCTGAGACAACGATGCCTGTTGTAAGAAATATGGCAAGTTCCTTACAAGCATTACTCATAGCATCTGTGTCATCCACTAATCTTCTTGCTATGCAGTATGGAATAGGTGAAAGGATGTAAAAAAACAGAACAAAGAGGGGCCAGTATTGGCTAGAAAAAGAAAAATAAGTTAATGTAACCTTTGCTATCTATATCATTTTCCTACACACAATTTCTTTTTAAGGACCAAGAGAATATTTAAAGATACAAAAATATTACGGTAGCTAAAATCTGCACAATGAAAAGAGAAATATCCTGAGTCACAGTATTTCTAAAATCAATTATGACACAATGATTAATTTTTTCTTCTATTAAAATAATTTATAAATTCCAAAAGTTGAAATCAAGGCCCAAAATTCAAAATATTTTTCATTTATATTATAAATAAGAGGCATATGGAAAATGAGACTATTAACTCAATACTTGTTAAAATTCAAAATCCATGCCATTGACTTCTAATGGATGACATCCTATCTTAGCTTAAAGCTGAAACAACCCCGAATTGTCCTTACATCACTAGGAACTCCCAAAATACCGAAACCAAAATTTAGAAAACAAACTGAAAGTAATATTGAAGACTTTCAGTCACAATATAAAATTTATCACAATAAACATAGAAAGCTTTAATCTGTCTAGTTAACTGTATTGTGCCAACGTCATCTCTTGGTTTTGATAACACTATAGTTATGTAAGATGTTATGACTCGGGGAAACTGTGTGGAGGATACAGGAACCTCTATGCACTATTTTTAAAATGTCTTCTCCTTCTTTTTTTTTTTTTTGAGTTAGAGTCTCCTTCTGTCACCCAGGCTGGAGTGCAGTGGTATGCTCATAGCCACCACAGCCTCGAACTGCTGAGCCCAGGTGATCCTTCCACCTCAGCCTTCCAAGTAGCTGGAACTATAGGCAAGCACCACCACGCCTGACTAATTTTTTGATTTATCATAGAGACAAGGTCTTGCCATGTTGCCCAGGCTGATCTCAAAACCCTGGACTCAGGCAATCCCATTGCCTCTGCTTCCCAGAGTGCTAGGATTACAGGTGTGAGCCACTGTGCCTGGCACAACTTCTTGTAAGTCTAAAATTATTGCAAAATAAAAAGTTGAAGAGATAATACATGACCTTTAAAACTACCATAGAATAAAATACATATCATTGTAGAGATCTGCTTGCACTTAGAGGCTTGTGATAAGAAAACAGCTACTTATATGTTTTTCTTAAAAAATCTCCTAAATATTTTAAGAGAAAAAAGTTTAACAGAATATATGCTTAAGAAAAAAAAAACTTTAAACAGTACAGAAGCATAAAAAATGAAAACTAAAAATTTCTAACAGGTGCAGTGACTCAAGCCTTTGAGTAATTCCAGCACTTTGGGAGGCCGAGGCAGAAGGATTGCTTGAGGCCAGGAGTTTAAGACTAGGCTAGGTAACACAGCAAGACCTCGTCTCTATAGAAAATAAAAAAATTAACTGGGCATGATGGTGCACACCTGTAGTCCCGGCTACTGGGGAGGCTGAAGGAGAAGGATCATCTGAGCCCAGGAGGTTGAGGCTATGATGAGTCGGGAGTATACCATTAACCCTAACCAAAAAAAAAGAGAAAAATTCCCCGAATCTCCCCTGCCTTCTCTACCCACTCTCCAACTGAGCTTCTTGTGGACCTTACTTATTTCTTAGTTCATCTAGATAAACTTAAAAAATATGAATGGGTTACTCCATTTAAGAAATGTAACAATATATCTTGAACGTATTTACATATCAGCACTTACAGCTCTATCTCATTCTTCTTAAGACTCCCTAGTATTTCCATTGATGGATGTACCGTAATATAACCATTTTTCTTTTGATGAACGTTTAGGATGTTTCCAGGGCTTTTTTGTTGTTATAAACAAGGCTGCCTGGGACAGCTATACTCTACTTTGCAGCAAGTGTATTTGTATTAGAAACTCTAAGAAGTGAAGAGTTAGTTCAAAGAATACATACATTTTCTTAGACCATCTACAAGCAAACTGGTCTCTAAGAAAACAGCACCTATTTATATTTTCCTCAGAGTATATAACATACCTGCTTACTCATATCTTACATCTTTCACCAATGGATTTTGCTTAGTTTTGAGTGAGGTTGAGTATATTTTCATGTGCTTATTATTAGCAAGTTGTAGTTAGGTCTCTTTTCGTATTTGCTGTTCATTTTCTATTAAGTTGTCCAGCTTTTTCTTACCAATCTATCTAAATATTACTTTAAAAAAGTTCTTTCTATCCTAAGGAAGTAATTGTTGACATAACTTTTTTTTTTTTTTTTAGTCAACTGTGTTTTGACTCTGCTTGTGGTATTTATTGCAAAAAGATATTTGAAATATCCCTATAGCCAGGCTCGGTGGCTCAGCCTGTAATCCCGCGGTTTGGGAGGCTGAGGTGAGTGGATTGCCTGAGGCCGCGGGTTCGAGACCCACCTGGGCGACTTGGCGAGACCTCATCTCTACAATAAATCAAA